GAATTTGTCCATTTCACCCATGTTGTCCAGTTTGTTGGCATTTAGTTGCTCATAGTATTTTCTTATAATCCTTTGTATTTCTGTTGGGTCAGTTGTTATATTGCCTCTTTCAATTCTGATTTTATTTATTTGGGTCCTCTCTCTTTGTTTCTTGATGAGTCTGGCTTAAGGTGCATCAATCTTATTTATCTTTTCAAAGAACCAGCTCTTGGTTTCATTGATTTTTTTGTATTGTTTTTTTAGTTTCTATGTCATTAATTTCTGCTCTGATATGTATAATTTCCTTCCTTCTACTTCTTCAGGGCTTCTCTTGCTGTTCTCATTCCAGTTCTTTTAGTTGTTATGTTAGATGGTTCATTAGATCTTTTTCTTGTTTCTTGACATAGACTTGTAATGCTATGAATTTTCCTCTCAGGACTGCTTTTGCTGTGTCCCATAGATTTGGGGTTGTCTCTTCATTTTCATTTTTTTTCCAAGAAGTGTTTGATTTCTTCCTTGATCTCATTGGTAACCCATTCATTGTTTAATAGCATGCTATTTAGCTTACATGTGTTTGAATATTTTTGAGTTTTTTTATACTGCTTGATTTCTAGTTTCATGGCATTGTGATCTGAGGAGATACTTGATATGATTTCATTCTTCTTGTATTTGTAGAGACTTGCCTTGTGTCCTAAAATGTGATCTATTTTTGAGAATGTTCCACGTGCACTTAAGAAGAATGTGTATTCTGCTGCTTTGGGGTGAAATGTTCTGTAAATGTCAATTAAATCCATTAGGTCTAGTGAGTCATTTAAGGTCTGTGTTTCCCTGTTGATTTTTTTGTCTTGATGATGTGTCCAGTGCTGACAGTGGGGTGTTAAAGTCCCCCACTATGATTGTGTTGCTGTTGATCTCCCCCGTAAAGTCCACCAAGAAATTTTTTATATATTTAGGTGCCCCTGTATTGGGTGCATAAATGATTATAAGGGTTATTTCCTCCTGTTGGATTGATCCCTTTAGTATTATGTAGTGACCATCTTTGTCTCTTGTTATGGTCCTTATTTTAAAGTCTGTTTTGTCAGAAATAAGCATTGCTACTCCAGCTTCCTTTTCCTTTCCATTTGCATGGAATATTTTACTCCATCCCTTCACTTTTAGCCTGTGTGAGTCTTTTGCTCTCAGGTGGGTCCCTTGTAGACAGCATATATTTGGATTCTGTTTTCTTATCCATTCAGCTACCCTATGTCTTTTGATTGGACCATTTATTCCATTTACATGTAAGGTTACTATTGATATAAACTTATTTAATGTGATTTTTCCCCTTTATGCTGATGTACCTTTCTCTCAGTATTCTTTCTTTTTCTTAAAGCAGTCCTTTTAGCATTTCTTGCAATGCTGATTTGGTGGTACTGAATTCCTTTAGCCTTTCTTGTCTGGGAAGCTCTTTATTTCCCCTTCTATTTTAAATGATTGCCTTGCTGGATAAAGCAATCTTGGTTGCATGTTTTTGCTTTTCATTACCTGGAGAACTTCATGCCACTCTCTTCTGGCCTGAAGAGTCTCTGTTGAGCTTTATGGGGGTTCCCTTGTAGGTCACTGCTTGTCTCTCTCTTGCAGCCCTTAATATTTTCTCTTTGTCCTTGCCATTTGCCATTTTAATTACGATGTGTCTTGGAGTGGGTCTCTTTGGGTCCCTCTTGCTTGGAACCCTCTGTGCTTCCTGAACTTGTGTGGCTTTCTCCCTCGCCAGCTTAGGGAAGTTCTCTATCATTATTTCCTCCACCAAGTTCTCTATCCCTTGCTCTCTTTCCTCCCCCTCTGGCATTCCTATAATGTAAATGTTATATTACTTCATGTTTTCCCAAAGTTCCCTTAGACTGTCCTCATGCTTTTAAGTGTTCTTTTCTTTTTGCTGCTCTGATTGATTTTTTTTCTACCTTGTCTTC